ATCGAGAAAAGTTTATTTCAAAAGTTGCCGGATTTTTTGCAATAACAGTACTTTGCAATCAAAAAATGAAAAATATTTTGATAATGGTATCAATAGGGAGTCAGAACCTACCAGAAGCAAAAGGTTTCGTTCCGATCGGTCCAACCAGTTAGGTATAATCGGCGAACATGCATAGAAAAAAAAAAAAAAAAAAAAAAAAATACTGATCGAATTGAGTAACCTCCTCCTTTTTCGAAGTCGGTTAAAAAATACAAATAAATTGGAATTTTTAATTTCGCTCGTGGAAAAAATATTATTGTCGTTGAAGTTATATGTACATTTTATACTTTCCGTTCGGTGCACGACTGATTTCTATACATAATATTCTGGAAATCATATTATATTTCATTTTTTATACTACTTTATTTATAAAAAGAATTTGAAGGTCCATAGGCGTAGACATGTGCTTGCGATAAATCGGCTAATGGTTATACCTCCTTTTCTCGCAGTTTTAACAAATAAAAACATAGACTTTTCTTAATTGTCACCCTCTGAAACGCGAGGGTGTTCGACACTTAGTAAATATAAAAAATATACCGCCACCATAGATCTCTTTCTTGAAGTAATGTGTCTACCACTAGATAAAGCATTAAAATGAATTTCAAATTAATTTGCATATTTTAAAATCATCAATACATTTTTCAAACTCTTATAAAAGCCTTGAAATTTTTTTTGAGATTGCGCCTATCCTCCGATTTACACTGAAGATAGGTTCCTTAGAAAATCGTGTAAATTGAAATCGTGAATTTTTGTACGTAACATCGTGTAAATCAAATTAAAGAAAATTCAATTCTTCATAAAGAATTCCCACTATTCGTGTCCGACAGTAAATCTTTGAGAATAAGTTTCACTCTCTAAAATCAAATATTTCTTGATATAACAAAACAAAATATGTAACCTAGTTGTTGAAGTACTATAGAAGAAAAATTAAAATCTTTACAGGATGAAAGGGTACGACCGTTTATGACAAAAAGTTGAGTACTACATAAATTGTTGCTGAAATAAAATGTCGTTAATTATGATAATATTCCACTCAACTCAAAGCATGCGGATATAAAATTCTTGTTCATCAGATGAAGCTAAATAATTTTCAAATAAAACATTTTAAGACTTTTTGAAAATGTATATTTTATATGCAAATATTCTAGTTGCATCAGTTTTATGTTATATTGAAGTAATGTTTTATTGTTTTCAAGTGACATTCAATAGAACTAAATTCAATAAAATTATTTATGAGAAATGAAGAAATTTCAATTGCTTAAGAATATAATATCTTACGTACCAGCGTAACATATTATATTCGTATATTACATATTATTATAACATAACAATATAATGTTACGTACCAGCTCTGGTATTAATATATTTTTATGTGATAATGCAGACTCCCAGGGAATTTCAGCATCCACTAAATATTTAGAGGCACAATCAACCACAAATATTCTGTACCTTTCATTTTCTCTACAAATGCACTGTTTTACATGTGATTTCGAGTTTAGGTATTTGGAAGATTTTGATTTTAAAGTATGCACAGACACATTATACATCTGTTCCGGTCCATGACAAATTGAATCATGTCCTGGGTTTATAATGAAGTAATTTCGAACGTAAGGATGCATTTTTCCCTCCAAGTAGCGGACAAAATCGTATAGATTGCAGTCGCATATTATAGGATTGCTGCCGACGAATATGTTTACGGCACGTGTTTTATTTTGATATTTCGCTATTTCTTCTGCCCGAGTCATATAAATATGCTGTATTTTATTATGTTGGAGATATACTGTAATGTTGTCCGATACAAATTGTAGATCTTCAGCCTGAAATAAAGTCATACAACAAAGAAGTTATTTAGAGATTATAATTAAACAAATGTGATGATTATACCATTTATGGTCGCTGTCTTTTTTATTTAGTATGTATTAAATATTCATATTTAAATTTGATCGAATGAATAAGCCTACTTAAATGTATTATACATTGTGAAGGCATCATTGACTATTAGTACACTTTACATTCTCATTATACTATTTAATTCAGTAGTCCAATAATTTCCACACCTTCACAAACAATGCTTAACGTGCGATTAACTATTTTCGGATAAAGCTCACTTTTTTAAACTATATTTAAAGAAGACATGGACGAAATAAACAAAACTTTTATTTTGTTATTTTATTCGTTTATGCTGTTATTGTCATTTCGAAATATTAATTAGTAAAATACTAATATTGAAATTATAGAAAAAGAAACAGAAACAATTTGTGGAAGATCACAAACAAATCTAACTTTTTGATAAAATAGATACGAGTTATTTAACTGTATTATTTTATAATCACAGCTTTTTAATTGTACTTTTTGGTGAAGCAAGGAATTTTTCGCTAACTTACTGATATGTGAGATATTTCGTTGTAGCTCAGGTCCAGCATATACAGCTGTGTGTGGTCCTTAACCCAATCTTCGAATATGTGTGATATATTGTTGTTGCGCAAAAATACCTCGAGAGAAGCGCAATTGTGAAAAGGTGATTTGGTTCCATATTCATTTTTGATCGAAGGCGACAATGTAAGTTGATTGTAGTATAAATTAGCGCGCTTTAAATGCTTGAGGGAATTGAAACTAGTATCTTCAATTTTTTGCAATCGATTATGTGACAAATCTAATACTTCTAACGATTTTAAGTTGCTAAATAGATCCCTGTAATTTTTAACAGAAGAAATTTTGCAAAAGCGGTATAAATTTTGAAAATGAAAAGATATCTTAATGCCAAGTAAATGTAAATAGAGTGTATTCTTTTCACACGGGGTACATGCCAAATGTATCGAGTCATGTTATTGGATTATTATAACAGAAACCAATTATAAATCAATGTTGAAGAAAAGTCAGCAGCCTGAGCTGTTACACGGAAATCAATTGGTATCATATAGAACAAGAATAGGTGCATTAACTCTGTTTTTTTGTGAATACGTATCAAATATTATGAGGTCTATGTAATTTAACCTGGACGTTATTAATACTTAGTTTGATAGCACAGCACATACTTTTAAAAACCTGAAGAACAATGATTTTGAATGAAACATCTTAAGAGGTTCAATACGAAATATTTTTTCTCTGAATTATGTTATTACCCCGTAAAATGAATTTTCTGTTCTTTATAATACTCAATAACACCTCCAAGATCATGTAAATTATAATATTACATAATAATAATTCGATAATGATTTCGAAAATGCACGACCTCTCTTATTTTGATGATTTTTAAATGCATTATAGAATCAGTCTTTGATACACATATAACCACCAATCAGGTTTAGTTTCTGAACTATTCGCACAAAACTCTTGGCACAGTTTCATTAAATTTTGCCTACAAATGTGTGTCGATAGCAGTAGACGTAGTAGAGTTCATTCTCACAACTACGTATTTTTAATTATTGCATTTTGGGTATAACTATATAACAAAATTACTTATGAATTCGTTTTATCGTAACATTTGTTCTTATCCTTAATACAGTAATCATTGGATAGAAGCAGAAATATTATCCCCACCACTTGGAGAGTGTTGTATGTCCAACTACAAGAATCATTTCACAAACAGTACCGAT